CCCCCCCCCCCCCCTCGGGTGCTTCGCCCCCTCGTGTCCGCTTACTGCCCCCCCTGGCATTTTGCTCAGGCTACGGCCCTGTAGATTGAAACGTGCCTCTAGAATCAATCTGATTCTTCGCTTCTTAACCACCATCAAGTCGGCCAGTAATCCAACAAGCACTCTATTATGACAGCAAACGTTAACGTATGACTTGCAAAATTTGACCAGCGTTTTGTCGTTTGACCAAACACCCGAGTGTACATAGTGAAGCAAGACACTGTATAGATGGCTAGTTACCAGACGCCTTTCCAACGAAGCAGTTAACATTGAAGAATTTATCTAAAACATACCTCAGTGGACTACATTTAGTTATCATTCTCTTCTTTCCGAGAAAAACATTGGGTGCCAATAATAATAATAATAAATGAGTTGTGTCAGTCCTTGATAGTATAGTGGTGTCAACAGGCCCGTAGCCAGCGATTTCAGAGGGGGGGGTCGTTTTCTGAAAAAGTGGACCTTTTACCATAAATTCCTCAAGCACATAGGTCAAATTTTACCCAGAGTGGACCTTTTTCCAGCAAAAAGGGCGGTTCTTTCGAACCCCCCGAACCCCCCCCTGGCTACGGGCCTGGGTGAGTATCCCCGCCTGTCACGCGGGAGATCGGGGTTCAATTCCCCGTCAGGGAGAGCTTTTTCTTTTAATCTTTAACGGTTTTATAATAATTATAAGATTATAAGAAATATTATTTCTCTAATTTAAAATAACGAATAGCACTTAAATGTACAAAGTTTGCCTCATCTGCATCAAGTAGGTCTACGTTTTCATCATTTTTATTTCATCTAAATTTTAATGGATTTTTTCCAGAAAAAACACCCTTTGAACTCTGTCTCTTGCCATCACCACATAAAAGACCCATCTCTTCCATTTCGTTTAAAATCGTGTCTTTCTCAATTGTCTTCAATCTCTGACAGGCAAATGTCGTCCCTAGAATGAAGTCGCCTGCCATGCATTGCCAATTTGGCCTGATTGTAAGCGTGATATAGTCGGTTTCAGGCAACGTTTTTGTAAGTCAGAGGCAAAAAGAAAAAAGGGAATACTCAGTTGTCCTTGAATAATACCAAAACCTTTTACACATCAGGAAATCTGGGATTGATGTCGCATCAATGACAGGAAATTGATGTGCAAATTTGTCAGAACAGCGAGATCCATATTCAGACTTCATTCTGTATTTGTAAGTCAATTGTCACTGGTCGTCATCAAACAGACGCCACGCGCGGCAGGGGCTAGTATCAATAGCAGAACAATGGCTGTTCGGAAGTCTGATATTTGCATGATGTCTTTTTTAAACGCAAGCATAAGTCATTGCAAATTCAGATTCAGTCGTTCGTTTCTAATTGGGGGGGGGG